TAAAACAAAAGCACAGAATGAACATTCCAGCCTTATGGCAATTCAAAATAATAGGAATAATAGGCCGTGAATCTGTGAAGTCACAGTGGGCAAACTGGACCATCTCCCACCCACCACAACAAGCCGGCGTGACGCTTGGCGGACCCCTTCCTACCCGAACTTTGTTCGGGTAGCATGACTCCCCAACCCCAATCGGGAAACTGGAAGTTTCGGATAACTAAAGTTCGGAAACCAAGTGGTGCTCTGTAACTCACCCACCCACCGGGGAGGGGGGGGGGGAGACCTGTGCAGACAGCGGCGTAGTGACGGTTGTGACATCATGCTCATTTGCTCGTTTTTAGTTTAGGGAGTTCTGTCCAACAGTTCAGCTTTCAGTAGCAATTTTTAACCAGATAGGGTTCGTTTTGGGGCATTTTGGCGCCTACCTTTCTGGGTGCCTGACCCAGTCGATGGCAGACATAGAATGCTTCCAACCGCAGGGGGGGTTTCAATAGGCCATTGCTCCTTGTGCCTCTCTGTGGGGGGCCAGGTTCTCGCTCATGGTCCCTGGTAGGCCTAAGAACTCCATTTGCTTTGACTGATACCTCTGTGTAATACATTCATATCAGCCTGGATAGCTCTGGGGAGCCGAAGGACTCCCCCCAGAAACACACAAGACAGCTTGTGGAACAAGGCGGAAGTGACATCCATCCTGGACGCAAGCTCAAGTGGCTCCGCCAATGCCATACAATAAGAAGCGACACTATTTGGCACAAAATGCCAATTCAGAAAAAGCTGAACACCATGAAACCAGCCACCTGATCACTATACAAATGGAGATAATACGTACCAGAAATATCAGATGTATATTGCGGAGGAAAGAGTCAAACAAGCGCAGTACCTCACCCATCTGACCTGCTGATAAAGGCAAAGCCGAGAAAAAATGGCCAGGTTCGGACACTGAGCAAGCAGCGCCTGTACCCATGACTGGGCTGGCTACAATGGGGCCAGAAGAAGCACTCTTCCTCTGTAAGATCCCAGCCGAGCCAGACCCCGGAGCGAGAGCTGGACCAGGGGAAAGAGGAACTGAAACCCCCATTTGACCAGTCCAGCTGAAAAACATCTACTGCAAGCGCCTCGCAGTAGGGGAATGGTGCCATGTACAGAAGACCCGGAGAGAAGCAAATGGGGATAATCCCCATCGCAAAGGACTCAACATGGACTGTCCACTCTGTGGAAAGGGGAAGGAAGTGAGATGGTCCATCGGGACATTGGACACTCCCTGAACGTGAACAGCGCAAAGAGCTAAACCCTGAGAATTCAGCAGAAGAACTACCCAAAGTGACCAGTTTGCAAAGAGGGACGTAGCAAAGGGCACCCCCACTTGATAAAATGAACCATGGAGGAACAGTCCGAATGGAGCCAGATCACTGAGCCCCAAGGAATACAAACCCTCCACATCGCCTACCACATTGTTGCAAACGCCTGCACAGTGCTGGATGCCCGACAAAAAGACAAGCCTCAACGCCCCTGGCCAAACTGGTAAACCCGAACACAAAGCCCCAACCGAGCGCCGAGACGACCATGAAAACATCGAGCAAGGGAAGGGGAAAGGGCTATGGCACCGAACCTCAAAAACCCTGAAGAGGAAGCCAGTGACACAGCAACCAGCTCAGGGACCCTGGGGGGAGGACCTCGTGATCGCGAAAGCGTTGAAGGGGGCTGCTCTAATGATACCAGAACAGCTTCCAGAGCCAAACCCCACCCACTGGATAAACCAGAAGGGCAAAGGTCAGGGTCCCGCACAGCTGCTTGAGCAACTGTCAAGGTATTCAAGGACCCTCACAGCAACAGCCGATGGCAGGACTGCAGCCAAAGCAAGGCCGCCTTAAGAGAAAGAGATGCCATACACAAATCCCAAACAAGACCCAACCAAGTCCGAACCTGGGACAGAACCAACTGGGACTTCCTCCAGCTCACCAGAAACCCGAACTCGGAGACCTGGGAAAGAGCCAGATCCCTGGCTAGCAGACAGACTGGCTGGAAGACCAAACCAACCAGTCGTCGAATAGACCAAGACCCGAAGACTTAGCATATGAAGACGGGCCATCATGACCCAAGTCAAGTGCATAAAAACGCAAGGTGCCAGATGCAGCCCAAAACGGAAAACAATGATGAATACTGTCTCATGCCGAATACTGTCGCTTCGTACTGTACGGTGTTGGCAGAGCCGCTCCAGCATGTTTTCGGGGTAGATGTTACTTCTGCTCCGTTCTACTCTGAGCTTTGCTCTGCTTTCACATGCAATTTTTTACCTCCTACTCATGTGCCGCCAGAGCCTTCCTGGTCTTTGGACCGAGTTCTTTCTTTTCTTTCTTCTCAGTGCTTTGTTATGGCCCATTCGGTCAGTGATTGTTTTCACAAGGCCTTGTTTTTATTGGCCTTGGCTTTTGGGGCTCGGGTTGTGGAGCTTCATGCTCTCCTCCGGTGCCAGGATTGTTGTTTTTTGGCCCTGAGGGTCATTTTGTTAAGTTGCAGCCCTCTCCTCCTTTTCTGGCAAAGAAAACGAGATAACAAGCGGGAGTACTAGTTTGCTTGCAGGGTTGCTAGGTTCGGTTTGTTTAATTTCTAGCAAGGAAGTTTCTTTGCTCTTTTGGGCTGTAGGTAGCATTTTACCAGCTAATTGCTTGTTTTGGCTCGCCTATCTTTCTGGGCTACTGCCCTGGTCGATGGTGGAATATGACAATACTGTAAATTGTAAGTACTCATACGCCATTGCTCCCAGCACCTCTCTGAGGAGACCAGGTTCTGGCTAATGGTCCCTAATAGGCTCAAAACTCCAGTGACTGATGACCCCAAACTAATAAAGCACATATCAGTTCGGTTAGCTTCAGGGAGTCAATGGGGCTTCCCCCAGAAAAGGTGTACTAAAGCACCAGCAAATGAAAGAGTGAAAGAAAAAACCCTGTGACCCCACAACAGCCAACAAGAAGTCAGGGAGAAACATTGGTGCACCTCAGCAAGCTGAAGAGCCAGAAATGCCACTCATATTGCACCCCCATCAGCCAACACCACTCCCCTACCCAGGGTGAGATCGAAGACCTAAGACCCCCGACGTACCCCAAGGGTGAAGATCACAAGTGAGGAAGTCCTCAAATGGGGAGCAATTCCTTAACACCCAAGGGAAAAAAACCTGACCATGCAAGGGCAGTACTTAAAGAACACCTAGGGAAGGTGACCCTAAGCACATGCAGCTCCAGTTTTTGAAACTCCTTGTCAACAAACACTTCCCTGTAGGAACAGTCTCATAAGCCAAAACACCAACAAAAACAGAAAACTGTGGCCAGAGCGAGCCGATGACTGCCAGGCACGACATCAGTCACGAACTGGCTGGTGGTGGCCTGGCTCACCAGGGCCAGCTCCCCCCTCTCTCTAACAAGGGGTAAGTTAACTAACGAGGGGGTTAGTTGGATGAAGTTTTGCCCATTTGTTTTCTTTGTGGATAAGTTCTTGTGATAATTTGAGAGCATAGGTCACATTTTTCAACCAGACAGTAAGTCAGTTTTGATTCGCCTACCTTTTTGTGTGCTTCCCTGGTTGATGGCAAGATGACAAACTTTTTATTTAAAGTCTTCATGGACCACTGCTCCCTGCACCTCTCTGAGGGGGCCAGATTCTGTCTAGTGGTCCCCAGTAAGCATACAAAAACTCTGCGACTGATGACTCCAAGTAGTATGGCACTTATTCACTACAGATAGCTTCAAGGCTCTCCACAGAAATAAGTTTTATTTTTTCTCTGGTCAAGAAGACTGTCAACAAATTACAACTGCATTTTTGGTTACATGTATAGTAAGAGAAAGCTGCCCTTTACAGCTGTGCAGTTAAAAAATGGTAACATATACCATTGTTATTTATTGTTTGGATCATATTGTATTAGAAAAGACATTTAGCCTTTATTTACTTGGTTGGATTCATTTTTTTTTTCCCCAGTGACTCAAATATCTTATATAAGCACCTCTGTCCTTGTGGTATCAGTACCACATATTTTCCTGCCTAGCCAAATCATGATACTTTGTATGGCAAAAAGTTCTATGCTTCAGGAAGCTGCAGAAAAAGTGGGCTCAGAAACATCTAACACTTACTACTATCTTGAGGTTATCTTGAGTTGATTTCGGGGCTTTAGTGTCCCCACGGCCCGGTCCTTGACCAGGCCTCCACCCCCAGGAAGCTGACTAACACCCAGGTACCTATTTTACTGCTAGGTAACAGGGGCATAGGGTGAAAGAAACTCGGCCCATTGTTTCTCGCCGGCGCCTGGGATTGAACCCAGGACCACAGGATCACAAGTCCAGCATGCTGTCCGCTCGGCCGACCGGCTCCCTAGACTACTAGGCAGGATTAATGGCATATTTTTTTATAGTGTATACATAAATAATCAGAATCAAGACTGGATTAATACAGGTACAGTACTGCATGTGCTCGCTTTTCCGAATTCCGCTAAACCTAATATTCGGGTTAGGCGCCCAAAATTGCATCCAGATAATTTCCTGCAAAACTTCATGTCCAGATAAAAATCTGATAACCAGAGATTAGGTTGTGTAAATTTTCAAGGCGTACACATTTCATGATATAAAGCATAAAACAAAAAGACAAACTACAACAAGATGAGCTAAAGTTTCTCTTTTAAAATATATTTTTGATATACTCTATAATATGTATGGATATTTGAAATATGTTGGTTGTGGAACAAAAAATTGTGAATATGGTCATTTCTGCATTTCCCCCCTGTAAGAATTCTGCTTATACGGTAAAGTGTCCTTCCCATATAGTCCGGATAAGTGAGCTTAGACAGTACTTCTAACCAAGGGGTTGATATTTTACAAAATTATGGAGGAAAACAGCATTTTTATTTAACTGACAAAGAATGTGATGTTTATCAAGATCAAAGAATGTATTAACTCTCAAAATATGCAAAAATTAGTATTAGAACTGTATTATGGTATCTCCATATAAAAACTAACCTGATACTTTTCTGGTGGACCAACAGTATCCACGTAGACTTCAGACACATTCACCCCAGCAGCAATAGCACGGTTTATCAAGCCAATGGCCGAATTGTGAGACACCTCATTCAGTGATACTTTAGGTCTGTATGGGTGTGAGAACTGCTAAATTAGTTAATGAACGAACTACAGTACTGTACTTAGATAAGAGTAATCTACACACAATCAATCACAATTTCTGCAATCAGGATGATAAATTAATGATCATAAATGCATATAGACCACTGCCAAGCAACACATGGACAAAGAAGGAGCTAGATAATAAACGAGAGGGTCTTATAACAATAATGAGAGAAATTATAGCGAGAGCTGATAAAGATAGATCACAACTGTTGGTAGTCGACGACTTCAACTTTATATCCATAGACTGGGAGGCATGTGAAGCTAGAACGGAGGATTTTTGAAGAAGAAATCTTCAAAAAGAAGATTTATTTTGAAATCTTTATATTTAAAAGAAGAAAAGAAGATTTGAAAAAGATTTGAAAAGAAGAGAAAAGAAGATTTCAGAAAGAAGGGGAAGAAGGGGAAGAAGGGGGGAGGGAGGGAGGGAGGGAGGGAGGGAGGGAGGGAGGGAGGGAGAGAGGGAGAGAGGGGGAAAGGGGGAGGGGTGGGAGGGGGGGAGGGGGGAGGGAGGTAGAGTGTTGGAAATTTCCAATACTGATACATTCCTATTGTATCATAATACATCACTATTGTATGCTAAGTACAGTAACTATTAACTCTACTAACTGTAGTGCTAACGTAAATTAATATTTCTCTATCTGCGCGTCATTTACTAAAATTCTCATGCCATCGAGAAGCATATTGCATTAGATAATGTCCAGCAGGACATAATTATTACCAACCTGTTAGAGAATTGAATAATATTCTCAACTTTTATCAGTATTCTTTATAAGAATTAATCTCTGATAATATTATGACTAGTGATTCAATAACCAAGCGTTATTAACTTAAATTATCACTATAACAGTTTTATCTGTTATATCCAAACGCTATAGAGGAAATAGAAATTCTCTCCATTTCTCGATTAATACCATTTAACGAGAATATAGAGAATATTTAATTCCCTACAATTGCAACCCTGTTCTCATTAACGCATTACGTGAAGTAATTACACGAAAAGAATTTTCTGTCCTTACTTAATTCTATTGCGAATGCGTGAGAGAGGGTTGAGGGAGACGGAAGCGTGGCGATGCCACGCAGTAGCGAATCAACTCTCAAGGGAGGCGCAGCGACGCCATTGCTAGAGACGCCACCAGAATTGCAACACGAGCGTCCGGGGAGACGCAAATTACCAATCACAACGCCAGGCCCTTGCTATTAATCGACCTAGTAACGATCCAAAAATTGCATCGGTGGACAACCCGCAGGTTAAGTGTTCTCATACTTTTAACCGAGCTCTTTTAAATTTATAACACTGTATCCATCGTTACGCCACTAGACCTCCCCAAACTGCAAGTACGTCCGTTAGGAATTTGCTCTGTCCCTCCTAATGAATAGTGATGACACAATTTACCTGGTACTGTATAGACAATTTGTACATTTAGTTGGAATTTCAGCCTGGGTTGAAACGGCCATGGTCTCCTCACTTTCCCACGCCACGCTCGGGCACACGTGTTACAGCAAGTACCAGATGACGCCATCATGACTCTACATCTCCGTTCACTATTACAGCTAAGCAGCTGAATTAGTTCAATTTAGTTTATTTTATTACTGGTTGGTAGAGAACTAGTAGTCATTTAAGAATATAAATTTACATGATTTAAAAATCTAGTACAATTTGATAACCTCATGAACTTCAAATGAGAATGATTTCTTGTTTAACCATCATATAATATTCTTGCTACTAACCAATATATTTAATGTTTATTTGTGTATACCTTAGTAAGAGTTACTTATTTCATTCGAGGAAGAACCAGCCTTGATGTAGCGTACTGGGAATATTTTACTTCTGGTATTAACCCCCCATTTTGTGAAGGACGGAAAGTTTATTTTCGAACAGTAATTTAATTTACAGTCCATTAAAGTTTAAGGAATAACTCTTAATAGTTATATTATTCACAGGCACTGGTATTCAGTCCTTGTTTAATGTTCATTTATCTGTTTCCCTTTTCAGTAAAAATAGGGTGGTCCTTCGATTAATTTAAATCAATTAATTAATTAAACATCAAACAATAAATAGAGAATAAGCTTTCTTCCTAACACAAAATTATGAGTCCTTATTGAACCGGATACATTACAATTAATATTAAATCTATTTCGGTTGCGAAGGACCCACAAAAATTAAGGTCCTTTGAACCGGATAGATAGCAGAATCAAGCTATCCTAATTAATCATAACTAATTACAGTGTGTAGTAATCTAGACTAACCACATTTTATTATGTGGCTACTGGCAGTGTACCACATAAGTTAGCCTAACTCACACCAATTTATTTGCTGTCTATACTTCATGTATAAGGTAGCACTAGTGGGACACAGTCAGTTACCCACAACACTCAGACCTATACCTCACACTGAGGTAAGAATCTTCAGGTCACCATGAGCAACAGCTCATAACTTACATTCAATTTACAGCCAGACCATACAGGCAAAACCTGGCAAGAGATGATGTACACCTGTCAGGTGAGTCTAGGTCACATGTAGTTGACAAATTGATCAACACAATCAACCATCATAAAAGGTTGTGGCTAGCAAGCCAAAATTAACTATATATATTTATATTTTCACCTGTGTGTACAAGTGCATATCATGATGACGTCATGAGGGCTAATTTTCATTTGGGGAGTTCTGTCCACCTGTTCAGTCTTCGGTCGCAATAGTTTACCAGAATAGGGGTTTGTTTTGGGGCGCCTACCTTTCTGGGTGCCTGTCCCGGTTGATGGCAGACATAGAATGCTCCCAATCATAAGGGAGGTCTCTATAGGACATTGCTCCTCGTGCCTCTCTAGAGGGGGCTAGGTTCTGGCTCGTGGTCCCCGGTAGGCAAGAACTCCATGCATTGACTGATGCCAGAAAGTTATACATATCCATTCAACCTGGATAGCTCCGGGGAGCCGACGGGGCTCCCCCCAGAAAAATACTTTTTTAGCTAATGGCCCCCTAACAAATAGTGCCAAGAGATATAACCCTGAAACACAGATGAAGTAGATAAAAGTTGTCAATGGCACACAAATGACTGGTAGACCACACTGAAGCCCCCCATGGAGTGAAGTGTCTAGGATAAAACAAGTTAGAATAACTTGCATAACAACTACAGAACCTAGGTGAGCAATGAATGGACACCAGGCACAAAGTGAGGATGGCTTCATTACTCCAACTACACTTTCATGATGGGTACTGTAGTCCGGTGGTAGTTAGTGTAACATTTGTATACTAACTTGTAGCTTACAATTTTAACCACTGTGCTCTGTCAACCGAGAAATCTCGTTCTGAGAGTTGTACTATTTTTTGTTTAATTAGGCTATATTTTAATGTTTTTAATGTTTACATCACTCTTTGTGTTTTGAAATGAAAATGGTTGAGTTTGGAAACACTGACATTAACTTTACCTGAACATTTATAAAAACAACAAAAATATGTCCTTGACAATTGCACTATGAAGGTTTTGCCAAAAACAGGTGCACAGTGCAGGGGTTAATTGGCATCCTTTGTGTCTCAAATTATCACATGCAAGGGTGTGTTCAGGATAATGTTTGCCGTTTTGTATTATAGCTAACTGGTCCCTCGGTGCTGGCTTGAATTAGACTTGATAATATCTACCATACCTAAAAAATGACTAGACCACTGGAAAAGCTATTTGTAACCATGGGGGATAAAGATGATGAGAGCCTAGTAGATGAAAGAAGTCCCAGGTGTGGACATATTTGACAGGGGAAGTTTAAAAGTTTTCAAGAGTTTAATAATAATAATACACCCGTAATAATAATATTAATAATAACTCATGTATGTGACATAATGGGCAATTCTCTCAGTTGATGGCTCAGAGATCATCCATCAGACATTAGCTCAGAAATTTCTAGCATGTCTAATAAAATCTTCAACAAAAGCAAATGATCACTGGATATTACTCACAAACATTAATCTAATACACAAATTTTCCTTAAGAAAATCAAACACCTGTAAAGTATAATAGGCAATTTTTGATCTATGAAATTATGATTATACTATGTGGTACAAAGGGAGATGTGTTATACTCAAATTCTGTCAGTTGAAATGTAACCAATCACAGGCAAGTAGGCCTCTGACGTCATGCGAGACAGAGGAGCATCAAGCATGCTCCCAGCAGCCTCAGTCGTCCTCACAGACCCAGAGTAGGTGGACCTCGGCTGGCCAGTTATACACCTGTTTGCCTCACTCAATAAATATATACAGAAGCGACTACTGTGTCTACATTCAACCCGAACAAGGCAAACGAATACTGGTAGCAGCAGTGGGATCCAGAAATTTTTTTCTGGAAGCAAAAGTTCCAGTACCCAGCATCGCCTCGTGTTCCAGCCAAAACCGCCGCCACCGCCACCGCCATAAGCCGCCATCCTGCCACCCACGCATCAAATATTGTGCCAGACCGGGGTCCTGCCATCAACCACTACTCCAGGCCAACGTTTCAGAAGTAAGGATCAATATTTTCCTGTGAGAACGGGCACTCATCAGTGAGGAGGAAGGAAGCTTCCCGCGCCAGCCATTTTTGAACCTCGCGCCACCACGTGGGAACCACCTAGTGCACCCACCACCACCACCACCGCCACCCAAGCTGACAGTATCAAGCTTCGTGAGGGTGCAAGCTACTGCAATCGTCGTCAGCCATCGTCGCAAGTATCAACTGGTTATTCCATCGTCGCAATATTGTCGTCGTCAGAATTTATCTTCGTGCTTCTAGCGTGAACAGTGTGGGGTCCCTGAGTCTCGCGCCACCGCCGCCAGGAGCGCTGCCATCGCATCCAGTTTGTAAACACGCCTCACATGGGCCTCTTCCGATCTTCACGACGCTTCTCCTACTTTGGCTACTGGTGATCCTCATAAATTACAACCCTGAGATAAGTAATTGCTAGTTGAGAACAACGTGCCAAGTGTTAAAAAGTGACTTA